AAAAAAAAACAAAAAAAAAAAAAAAAAAAAAAAAAAAAAAAAAAAAAAAAAAAAAAAAAAAAAAAAAAAAAAAAAAGAAAAAAAAAAAGAAAAGAAAAGCATAATTTCAAAATCTTTTAGCAAGCTTGAAAATAAGAGTATATTGTGAGTAGCCAGTAGAGGGCACTATAAAAAACCCACCTCCAACCCACTAGAAACTACTTAACTAGGCACAGTGGGCACCACTTGGCTTCTATGGACAGCAGAAACGCAAGCTGTACCTTGGTCACTATAAAATGGCCATTTTTAGTGTTTCCAGTGGAGGAGTTCTCAACCACTGTTGTAGAGACAGATATTCAGGCAATTGGCCCAAGAAATGAATGAATAAGAAATGGGACAGTCGCCAAGCATTGGTGGCACACGCCTTTAATCCCAACACCTGGGAGGCAGAGGCAGAGGGATCTCTGAGTTCGAGGCCAGCCTGACAGAGCAAGTTCCAGGACAGCCTCCAAAACAATACAGAGAAACCTGTCTTGAATCCCCCCACCCCCCAGCAAAAAAAAAAAAAAAAAAAAAAAAAAAAAAAAAAAAAAAAACGGGACTGCCATTTCCACTGAACTTTTAAATGTTTGTGTGTTTGCCTGCACACATGTGTGTGCACCACATTCATTCCCGGTGGTTTCAGAGGTGAGAGGGAGGACATCAGATCTTCTGGAACTGGCTGTGAACCACCACATGGGTGCTGAGAATCAAAGCTGGATCCTCTGTAAAAACAACAAGTGCACTTTTTTTTTAATTTTATTTTTTTCTTGAGATAGGGTTTCTCTGTGTAACAGCCCTGGCTTTCCTGAAACTTGCTTTGTAGACCAGGATGGCCTCCAACTCACAGAGATCCGCCTGCCTCTGCCTCCCAAGTGCTGGGATTAAAGGCATGTGCTGCCACCACCCCGATTAGTGTCCTCTTTTTAATTAACACTGCTTTTTTGAGACTGGGTTTCACTGTGTAGCCTTGGTTGGCCTGGAGCTCACTTTGTAGACCAGACTGGCCCGGGTCTACCCTCCTTTGCCTCCAGGGTGCTAGAGTTAAAGGAATGTGCCACCACACCTAGAATTTTAACCAAGACATTCTAAACTGTTTTCCTGGGCTGGTGACTATGCAGTTAACCCCTGCTGACCCAGAGTCATCTGTGAGGCTATAATTAATCACTCCCCTTCATCCCTTAGACTTCTTCGGTTTATTTTGA